AGCCCGGGTACGACGGCACGGGGACGGCGTAAACGTATAATTGGCTGCACTTAAATCTCTATAACGCGGCAGTAAAAATGCGCGGTGCGCCGCGTAAATCAACACGAGCACGATATGGCCCCTAGCACCACGCGCCTACGGGGCCGTAAACGCGGCGCACACGCGCGCAAACGGCGCATGCCGTCGACAATTTTCGCGACTTTCCACCGGGGCGATTTATTGCCGCGGTAAATTCGTGCTCGATTCGGCGACCGTTTAATTTTCACCGACTACCCGGACCGAGACACTTGTTTCTGCCTGACCATCGGCCTCCACGTCGCGGATCCAACCCTCCCGTAAAATATTCTTAACCCCAAACTCGTAATCCATCGAAAACGCGACCTTTTTACCGCGAAGAATGCAAGAGATACCTCTCATCGTGTCGCTGTCGCCTCTCTTCGCGACACCGAGTCACCAGCGCCACCTGGGAGTCTCGATGCACGTTCCAAAACTTCAAGCTATCTAGGTTATCGTTACGAAACAACTTTCACTCCGGAGTATCAAATTTTTGACAGGTTTTCGTAATTAAAACTAGGTTTACTGAATTTTCTAGACGATTCGATATGGAATTCAACTGGAATAAAAGACGACGAACAGTTTGTTTAAAATGTTATTATCTTTTAAATTCGGAGCCCGTCAGTCGAGCGTTTACTATCTACCCGTTGCTTTAAAATTACAATCGGTCTATTGACAGTGGCGTTTTTTTTTCGGGCGATTGAATTGTAAATGAGGATAAACGAGGATTTTGTCCAGCTGCGCGATGCTCGAAGTCGGCAACGAGTCATTGATCTCGATCGCGGTCGGAGAAACGGCTTCGCCTTATCAGTGACAGGACGTGGGCTGTCGGTCACGCGTGAATAGCGACGCAGCTGGATTACGCGCGCGGCGATGCGCTTCAAAAGGCGCGCGGTTAGATTCTTAATTGCGTGTCAATACTTCGCGGTGAAATCGTTTGCGCGAACGCGGGGATGTTGAGCACTCTATTTTTTGGGAAACAAGAAATGCAACGTAGACGAGCATGATCTATCAGGCTGTACTTTAATCATTCGCTGTTTTCTATAATCAGTCAGATAAATGTTTCGAGCTCATGTTGTAGAGCTTACAGGCTCTGCTACTTGTATATTATACAGGGTGTTTGACCACACTTAGAAACAATTTTAATAGGAGATTTTAGAGACTAAAATGAAACGAAAACCAAGAATATCAATTTGTTGACTGAGGCTTCAATTTTCAAATAATTACATTGGCATATATTAGTCAGAGAATTGACCATTTATGGGTTAAAGAAAACAAGGACTTAATTCCTGAAATGATAGAAATTGTGGAGGAACCCCAGTTTGGCCACCATTACCATCTAACATTCTTCCCCGGAAGCTACCCCCTGAAGCGTGTACTCGCGTTTTCTAAGTGTGTCCGGTGCACGGTGTTCATCTTCGGTTTCTTGCTCGTGCCGGATGGTTTTTCGTAGGGATTAGTTCCTCCCGCGGAAATGAGAAATTCCTGACGGGCGCGCTTCTTCGGCTGATACGTCAGGGGCACGGTAACGGCAGCGCGCGATCGGCACGCTACATTAACTCGATTCACCGAGTAAATTAACTGCAATCAGGGGGACGGTCCGCTGGCCATTCCGTTATTCCGCTAGCCGGCCGTCGGCCGTTCCGCGCGCCTCTAGACCGCTCTATTCGCTCGCGTGGAGCCGTCGTTACGCCAGGAATAAGGGAAGGACGAAGGACTTAACGTCGTTTTTGTTGGCCGAGCGAGGACCATCCTCTCCGCCCCGATGGACGAAAACAAGCCTGCCCCCGAGGAAGGGAAACGCCGGCGACGCCAAGACTCCTGGCTCCTTGTGAAGCCAACCGTGAGGATTCACGCTGATGATGTGATTTCTTGGTGGTTATTCCGTGGTTGCGTATATTTAGTCTCCCCTCTGACCCGTTTGGTGCCTTGCACGGTCATATTTTGCGATGCTGCTTACCAGTTTCGAACGTCCATTCGTTCTATACCTGTTCGAATACTATAAACTATCTCAGTCAATGAACACACAGCTCCTCTCATGCTCCTCTCGTCGCTTGACAATCTAGGAATACGAATACCCACCAAACGATTCATAGGGGGTTGAAAAGATTAAAAGATCATCGATGGAACGTTTCATTGGCTGGTGTCGGAGAAGGTTCGGAGTGTTGCCACCCATAATCGAACATTCTGACCCTCGTCCATTATTTTCGCTCATACCCCCCTTCGAATCTCGTCCTGCGAATCGAATGGCAGGTGGTCGATGTCGATCCCCTCGTCCTGGTTCCTAGATCGCTGGAGGAAAACGATGGAACGCGAGTGCACGGTCGCGCTTGGGTCCTATTTCCATCGATCTCCCGTCGTTCCAGGCCGTCTGCTCGACGGACAAATTTTTCGTCCTACGACGACGACCTTCGGTCACCCTTTTTCCCCCGACGGTCCGGTTTGGACGAATTCAAAGTTAATCTCGGCCACGAGACCGTTTCTCCGGACGTAGGGCAGGCGGTGGCTGGCTGGCGCCCCCGGGCGACCTGTCATCGTGAAACCCCTGGGAGCACCGGGCTCACCCTGATCTCTCTGTTACGATAGAACCTTGGGAACCGGAGCCTTGGGCAGCACGATAAGGCTCGGTCATTTATAATCCGTCGGCGTAAGTAGCCTGCCGTTCTCTTTTCGCGCTGATTGAGAGAGAAAGGAATAAAGGGAGCCTCGAACTTCCGGCCGCTCTAGCGAGATGGATCGACGAGGACGTCAGGTGAATTCTGATGATGATGCTCTCCGCTCCCGACCGGGACCACTTTCGACCGTTACTTCTGCTCTACTTAGGCTACTGTTCGATAGACACGCGACCTTTAACTCCTGGACAACGTGGGTGGTTACCATTTTCTTCCGTTGCAATCTGTTTTCATCATTTTTCAGGGCTAGATTCTAAAAAAAAAGACCTTGTTTTCGAGTTATGGCGAGTTTCTTCTTTAACACACCTTCGCAACAAATGTTCAAAATGAGGCCTGGAGACTTTTATTATTGACTGTCTTACACTTTCCATTTGTCGAGGAATTGTTCGAATTTCATGGTAGCCTCGTACAATTCCTTCGCATATCTCGAAAACAAGATCAAGTAGGACGTATGTTTCTATGAACTTTTTTATTGTTTTCACCCTCTATTTGAAACGCGTTAGATAGATGGAACATCAAGCCAACCCAAATCTTCCAAGTTGAAATTCTCGACGTTTCGTAAAAGTTACAGCGTTTTGAAATATCGCGTAGAAATATGTTGGCATGGGGTGAGACGATTCGCGGAAAAGCACGTTCAATCTTGAATAAAGAAAATATACGCAATAAGAGTTTAGTAGCCCGTTTCGAGAGCCAAGAAACCTCCCAGCGAGCAGTCCATCGAGTTCATCAGCGTCCGAGATAATTAATGCGTGGCATGGATCTGACGGAAGGGGGGGGGGTATCGTACCCGTAACTGGCTGCTGGCCGATAATTTATAAAAATGATATTTGCCTCGGGAAAGCGTGACCGTAAGCCGTCTTAATATCTCTCATTACCGTCTCGATGCTCGAGTCCCCGGTGACCGTGCAATTAAAAAGCTAAGATTGATAAATGACGGGGAATTAATGCGCCCGGGGATGGAAAAGAAGGGACGGGAATGGGATGGCCTCGGAATCGGGGCTGGAACGTTTAGGGACCAGCCAGCGAAAGAGGGACAGGGTGATTGCGGGTGGCTTAATGGTGTTTGTATGCATGGGAACCGGCCTTTGGGGTGAGGTAGTTATCGCCCGGTATAGTTTGCGCCGAAAATCGGGACCCGTGGTTTAAAGTGCTCGAAAATCTTACCCTCGACAATATATTCCGAACGTTCAACGGGGAATTGCTTTTGGAATAATAACTCTTCACGCTTCAACGTTTCCAGTTAGATATTTCCAGTTGGATAGATTTCCATTTGCCATACAAATTTTTAAAGATTTCCCTGAGTTCATAAAAACTCATCTGTACTGTTCGCCAAGTTCTGTGACTTTTTTAACGATATATTTAAACGTAAGGGGGCGTAAAATTTGTAAGGAAATAAAATTTCTGTTACGTGTTTCGAAACGTGACGAACGGAAACGGTAGACCAGTTCGTTAGTATCTGGGAAGAACTTGTTGACTCGCGGAACAATACGATCGTAAAATGTCACCTTGGCTCGACGGTCCTAACAATCGGCGTCGGTCGATTCCAAGAATCGGCTCCGTTTAATTAGCGAAAACGTTCCGTACGCACTTTATTCTGTTGGAAACGTCGGTCTCCGTCCTTCAGGAAATCGGGGGACCCTCGAATTGTTGTCACGGAACACGGTACATTCGTAGCCTTGGTGCGGTCGAGTCAACACGCGTTTCATACCGATCCTAACATTGACGATTCGTGGCTACGATTTATCGTAATATTTAACGTTTATCGCGATATCTACGCTATCGGTGAGCGAGTATAGTTATTAAATATTAAATTGGCGCGTCATAGACTGGACTAAAGCTATTCGAGACGGCTAATTTCGAACGTTGGAAATCCAAGAAGATTGGAACGATGACTCCAGGTTAGATTCTGCTTTATTTCTTTGTCTCTGTCGTGTATTGACGTTATTTGGTAGTGTTTGTGAGCTTTATTCATCGAGGAATTTAGTAATCGTTAATAAATAAATATACTAACGAGTATCCATAATTTACGTGTTGAAACACCGTTTATTTGTCTTTTGTTTAGTTCTTCGCCAGACCTTGTTGCGACAACCAGTGTATCTTTTCAACATATAAACTGTATATATTTTATTACAAAAATTCCCCATTCTTTATTCCAAAATCCTACGTTGAGTGATTGAATTGAAATGAAATATCTCCGAGATCCAGAGCTCGTTGGACCATTTCTACAGCAATCGAGCCACTTATTAACGATCGTTTGTGTTTGAATTGTTTCAGGTGACGCGAGTAACGCGAGTATCGGCAGCGGCGAGGGCACCGGCGAGGAAGACGACGATTCTACGGGTAAGAAGAACCAGAAGAAGAGGGGCATCTTCCCTAAGGTCGCGACCAACATCCTCAGGGCGTGGCTGTTTCAACACCTCACGGTAAGTGTCTACGCTCGTCTTTCGTCGCGTCGACGACGTTCCTTGTCCGCGAGTCGTTCGAACTCGTCCCCGAGCGACGATCTCGTCGTTCGTCGTCCTCATCAGCGGCTCTGCTCCGGGAGCAACGTAGGGAAACGTCGACGAACGTTCGCAGGAAATTCTCTGGCACGCTCGGCGATCCGCGGATCGTTTATCGAACCGGCGTGGCCCCGGTACGGTTAAAACGACGCGCGACGAAAAGAAAACATTTCCCAAATTGCATTCGCCCCGAAACGAAAAGAAACGAGAGGAGTCAGGGGGGGGGGGGTGGAGACGGCGCCGCGTAGGGGTCCGGTAATCTCCTAATGCCTAGATAAGGAGCGCCCCGCGCGTCGCGGCGCTCGTCTAATGATTCACGGGTAATCTGAGCCGCAAAAAGCGCAACGCGATTAAAGGGAAACGCGGAGGGGTCGAGGGGGGCGGCGTTGGTAACCGCGGTCGCGTAACGTTGCGCAGCAATTCGAAGCACGGTACATTGTCCCTCATACTACGGACACCCCATAGATTTCGGGTGTGATCAGGTTACCTTGCGAGAGCGGTAATCATATTGCAGCTCGGTTAATGCCATTACCGCACCGGTAGGGGGTAGGGTTGCCAGCCACCCTCGAAACCACCCCGCAACCAGTCCTCCGCCCCCTTGCTGCTCACCGCCCCTCGCCGTGGCTTCCTCCTCGTTGCTCCGCCGCTAGCTTCGGCAACCCCCTAACAACGTGTATTGGATATGACGTCGGGGATAGTGGGTTCATGGTTTAATGCATATACGCTGTTTGCACGATGACGATATTGCGCTCGTGAAAAGACGAGCTCTCGCGTCGTGCTCCGATACCGAGCCTCGCCGCGTCGTTCCTCTTGTTCGGTTAATCGCGGCGTCGAGAGCTTCCAGAGTTAACGGCGTCATGCGTGGATGTTAGGCTTGAAAGGATTTTAATGTAAGTCGGGGGCGCGTCCGTCCGCCCCCCCCCCTCTCGCGCCTACCCGCTTTTGCTCGAGTTCGAATTGCCTCTGTCTTATCGCGATGCGTTAAGGGATTCACTGCACTTTAACCCTATGCGAAAATACATCAATTTCTTAAATAGATCGCTTAGATGCAAATAATAGAATTATATGTACTTTGATGAAAAATTAATTCTGGAGTTAAGTTTTAGTTTATGTACTTTACAATGGTCTAAAATCAAAATTTTACTTTTCAGGGCGTTAAAAACGAAGTACCGAGTCGCTAGCAATCGGATTCTTAGATGAAGTTAGTCTACCGCGATTAAAGTACAGTGATAAGGCATCGTTTGGCGCGCGATACAGTTCCGAAAGCGGGGTAAACAAAGTTCGGTCGAGCGTATTTCTAGAAAGGCTTATAGACGAAGACGTTTGTGGGAATGCCGTGACCTAAAATCTATTCGGTTTCCGTCGGCCGATTCCGTTCGAAATTAACCCGTGGGAGCGCCACGGGCGATAAATTAGGAACAATTACGAGGTAAAAATAAGTGCATCAGCGGGGCGCGCACACGATTCATGGATCCCGCTCCGACGGTCCATGGCCGCGCTATTACGCGGTATCCGCTGCCAGAAATTACGGCGGTTTTTCGCGACGGTCGTCCCGCGGGCATTCGTCTCGGCGTTATTACGAGCGATTAAGCGACTGTACCGTGAACTGGAATTCATTCGGCCGCGCTGGATACATATTACGCCTTAAAAGAGTAAGCGACTCGGGGCCAAGCGTGTATTCACTCGGCTGCCAGCCTCTTTAAGAGCTTCCACCCGACGTGCCCTTTTCTTTCTCTTCACCCGACGAATTACGGCCTCAACAGCCTTGATTTAGCGTCCTAATCTCTCCGCCGCGATGACTTATGCGCGCAACAAGGGCTAACGCTCTCGGTGCTCGGTCGCGCGCGACTGTTTCCTCCGGTAATTGCTACAGAACAGATGCACGAAACGGCAAATGTAACGCAAATCGGGTGCATCGCGTCCTGCCGATCTCGTACGCTCGATCGTGCGACAAACTATTAAATAACGAGCACAGAGATTCATCTTCGCCGCCTGTTTCACCAACTATATTATTCAGCCACCATTTGTCTTTTCTTCGATACTAGCTATTTTCGGGTTCTCCATTTTCTTCTGTTAACCACGCAAAATGGTCGTGACTTCTTTAGAGCAACGTCTGGAATATGTAGTCTTGCATAAGTTATGTTCTCTGACGTTGACTAAGAGTGCAAGAGTGCAAGTCATCGATGTATACACCTTTGTATGATCTTCTCTCATCTATTAATTAACCTTCGACGCTATCTTCAAAAAATTTCAGAAATTTTGATTAATATTGCAGTGATCGAAACAGTTGGTAATCGACGAGGATGTCGTACAAGTTCCCAATTATAATTATTAATTTTCTCAACTGTTTTTGCTGTGTAACGGTGGTAGTTTCTCCATGAAAGCTGCATCGTGGGTAAAGTTACTGATTTTGTTTTAACATGGTTGTTAATGATCTAACATTTCCTGGTGGAGTTCATTTTTCTCCCAGGCAAGTGTTGACGAACAGAGACGAATTTCTGGTCGGTTTTGGGTGGTTCTGGTCCACGGTGGGCGAGCAGGGGAATTCCAGATCGCAGTTTCACCCCGTCGAAACATTTCGGAACACGCGGCGGCCCCGCGCCAAGGAATTCGTCGGGGCGCGCCAATAACCTGTCCCCGTGCAGGAGTGCCGACGCCAATCCGCAAGCCGCGTTCCGCATCGACGCGGGGCACCGGTAAAGCACGCGGAGCATAGTTTACATACGCCCGTAGATAGATAGCCGCGTTCGAATAAGGAGCGGAGAGAACGGACGCGCGGTCGCAGACGGCCAAAAGGGAAAAGAGCCGCGCAGGTTTCGCCTGACGTTAGATCAAAGGAGACGGATACGCCGTGATGGAAGCAACACGACCGCGGACAGGAGAGGAGCGAGGCATCTCCCCGACGACCGAGTATAAATTAAATTAATTTGATAGAGGCGGTGCGTTCGTCGACTCCGCGAATCTCCTCGCTGAGCTTCGAACTTTTTTTCGCGGGGGAATGCTGGCCCCCGACCACCCCGGGGGTGGAATCCCGCGCGTTCCGGGCTAGGTATGTCTTTGAACTCGATTGTCCGGAATCCAATGGTTAGTTTATAAGTGTAGCCAAGGGTCATCGATCTACGTATAGTGTAATATCAAAATAATTTTTAACTAAACTAAACTTAGACTTAGATGTCATCACCAATCAGCCTAGGGGTCTCTTACCCCCTCAGTATTTTTCCCCCAGATAGTAAGTCGTACCTTTCCAGGTTGCACGTATGAACAAACGATAAATTTAAGAAATTGTTACGCAAAGAACGGCGACTCGCGATTTGTTTGTCCTGTAATGTCAACGTGAATAATGTGGACGTCATGGGACAACGTTAATTCGACGCAAGGATATTCGGACAGCGGGGGTGGCTGTCGGTGTACGAAATCGTTTCGGTTGTTCTGGCGAGAGGTCGACGTCTTTCTCTTGGTCTCTTGTTCTCTCGTCCTCTCTCTCTCTCTCTCTCGTTGGTTGTCATTTGGAAAGCCATCCGACGACCGCCCCTCACTGTCCGTCCGTACGTCTGTCCGAGCAGCCAGCGTACCAACCGACCAACCAACTCTGCGACCCTCCCCAAGTTTAATTAGACGGAAGAGGAGCATACATCATGGTCGACTCCGTGTCCCGACCTTCCGCGCCAGCCAACTTGGGCTTTCCAGAATTGTGGCCGCCGACCTACTACCGTTCTCCTATTCTGTCCTTGTGCACACCTTCGGGGGCGATGTTTCAAACGACCTGTCTGGGATCGACCGGAAGGACACGAAAGAACGCGAGAACGCTTCGCACCTTTTAATTCATTTGAATTTGTTCGAACTGTCTCCACGATTCTCCACTCTTCTACGAGGAAAACTTAGTATCATTGCCTATACTCCACAGTTAAATTCGTGATGTAACGTCCGTTTATTTATTTATTTCTTTATTCACGAAATTAAATAACCATTAGTAAAGAAAAAGATAATTACATAACAAAATTGAATCTTATGAGGCATGAGACTGACTGTGAGTAATAACGAGGAGATGCCAAGCAAAGAACACTTAAATGATAGAATCGAATGGTTAAATACATCGATCGAAGCATCAGATTTTTTTCACAGAATTTGCATACGTATTTCGATCTAGAATTTCCATCAAAATCGAGTTCAGCCACGTCCGTTGGGTATCAGCGAGGATTTCGGTAAAATTCACTCGGAGAATGTCCTCGAGCCAGTAACAATTACGCGTTGCCCGTCGTTCCAGCAATAATCCAAAGACCCTGGGAATGCACCGGTGCGGGAAAAGAAGAAAGATTGAAGATGGAGTCGACATATATAATCCATTTTAATTTACTCGGAAGATATATCCGTCTAGCTTGCAGTTTCCCCGCGACTTGGTTCCTTTTCGTTCTTCCATTTTCTACCTCCGCGCTCTCCCGTTCCACGATCTTTCTTCCCGCTTCGTCGTTCTTATCCCTGGATACCGGGGCGCAGTCTTCTTATATCAATGGAAGCATTTCGCGAAATTACATTTGCCAGTTCCGGGGGCCCCGCTGTATGCTACTCCGTTTCACGTATCGAGTGGCGCCTCGGAATCTCCCTTTTTCCCTTACGCCAAATAAATTTGATCGCGCCGCGCGTAAGCTAATTCCATATCAAATCCTTTCTCTGCGCGGTCCGCGAATCTTCAGCGCCTCCGACGGAAAATCTTATCCGAGTCGCAGGATTTAGATACGAAGAAGAAGCTATGAGGGGAGGACGGGGGGGTTGAAAATACTTAAAACGTTAATTAATTAGTCGTTGCACCAGACATCGATCTCAGATTTTATTTATGTCCCCACAAAAATAAATGTAAATCTTGCAGGCCATTTTATAGGTCCATTCAGTGTTGAACATATTATGCAACAAATTGTCTACCGATC